CCCACGGAACACCTCTCCCAATTGCAAGGTCGCCACAATTGAGGATCCGCAGGGGAGCATTGGTTCAATAACTCCGGTGCCCGGGTTACTTCATGATTTTCATGTGGGTATATATTTCGTTTTGCAAATGAGTGATCTGCTGAAACGTGCCCAGTTGACACTGGCAGAACCTGTTGATTTACACAGTTACCTGCTCCTTCAGTCTCAACCGGCCAGACTGAGGAGGAGCAACCCAATATTGCCCAGGCTGAGGGGCAGAATCCAAGTGTAAGCCTCATCTGCTGTTTCACCATCAGGCCATCCGCGATTACTCATATGCCTTTGGGATGCGACCAGGGAAGTGCCCCCCCAGCGGGATCAGAGCTCAAGAGGCCTCTTAAACGAAAGTGGGTCCCCAAAAGGGTTGGTGTCCTGGTGAGTTGGCCCCCTGGTTTTTGCCTCATGTCATTCAATGACATTGAACTCACATGTCACCAACTATTCATGTCTATCATCTCACGCAGAAGCCCACCATCCCGGGCCTCCCCTCGTGGATCGCCAACTATGTGCAATCCACTTATGACCCCCCTGGCGATGGGAACTGTGGTTACCGGTGTGTTGCACATCATTTGGCAGTGGTTTACCCCAATGGCCCCTATGGAAAACCAGATGGGTGGCATCAAGTGCGGACCGAACTCCTGGAGGAGCTTAATTCAAACAAACCCCTTTGGTCTGGGATCCTTGGAGGAGACGCGGGGGTTAAACTAGTTGGTGAATCACTCACCGTCGATCGTGAGGCAGGTTACGTCCCCTTGCACAAATGGATGAGTAACGTAGACATAGGTCCATTACTCGCCAATCGGTACAATACGCCCGTCGTCTTCGTATCCACCACAGGGTCAATGACTTATCTCCCCACAACAAAGCCCCCCGGAAACCAGCCGACATGGCCGATATTCCTTGGTTTCATCAATGGTAACCATTGGATCCTGCTCCATCTGAAACGAGGTCTCATTCCATACCCTCCCGTATTGGGGCTGCCCAGGACCACTCGTGGAAAACCAATTGAACCCTGGTTGGAAACCATAAAGCCCTCCCTCGATCTCTACATCCAATCTCCTACAAAATGATCCCATCAGATGACTTTGTAGGAGATGTTCCGACTGTCGGACGCCAAAATGTTTTCCCAGAGACCACTCATTACTAATCTTATTCTTCTTGTCTTGTTTCCTCTCCTTCTGCCCTCCTTCTGCATATTTTGTTTGAGGTGAAATATCTTGCTTATGTTTCCACTGTTGATGCCCCTTCTGCTACTTGTGACTTCTTGTTTGACTCTCCTTTGGAATCATTCAATTTATCTCTTTATTAAGTGGTACTAGTCAGTTACCGTTAAGATTTGTAACTAGCCTAGTATTTAATTTCCTCTTCTCTTTGCAGCGGAATTAAATATAATACTGACAATCAGGTTTATATCTGATTGTGAACACTCAAACCTGAGTGACACATGTCAGGCACCTTTTCAGAGTCAGTATTGAGGATACATGACAGGAAACATTGAGAGACCCAGCCAACATGTCCACAAATGACACATATTCCCCCGGCGGAACTTGCCTCTGACCACATAGAGGGAAATTAACAGCAGTATCACGGTCTCACCCTAAATTAATAGCAGAATCACATGGACCAGGAAAAAGCCCAAAAGAGGCAGACAAAAGAAGAGGACTATAATATCCAATACAAGCCAGCACTCAGAGGAGAAAAAACATGCCAAAAGAAGCCTAAGCCACAACCATTCAAACCAACCGGTGGGCCAGTGCTATTTCAATATCTTGAGAAAAAATCCCAGCAATCACTGAAGGAGAAAAGTCATTGTA